TCAAAGCCAAGGGTTTAGGGTTTAGGGTTTAGGGTTTAGGGTAGCTACTATATGAGTATATGAACCTCATTATCTAACCCCTAAACACCTATGGTATTTGCATGTACTTACCCTTATGGAGCCCCTCCTGGCACCCTTAGAGGAATCCTTCAGGGACATGGAGCCTTGGGGATATAGGGCGCGCTTTACGGGCCTGTGTTCGTTTGTTGGCGACATGATTCGACGAAGTGGTGGTCGTCGTCGTGGTCGTGGTCGTGGTCGTGGTCGTGGTCGCGGTCGCGGAGGTCGTGGTCGTCGTCGTCGTCGTAGAAGTAGAAGTAGAAGTAGAAGTAGAAGTAGAAGTAGAAGTAGAAGTAGAAGTAGTAGTAGTAGTAGTCGTCGTCATCGTCGTTGTCGTCGTGGTAGAAGAACTAGCAGCAACAGTCAACAACAGCAACACTACAAGTAGCTCGCTTAGTCCTCTCTCCGGACCTCGCCTCAACCCTGAACCCTAAACCCTGAACCGTAAACCCTAAACCCGAAACCCTAAAAGCCTAAATCCTAAACCCTGAACCCTAAACCCTAAACCCCGCCTCAACCCTAAACACTAAAGTATTTCCACCAAGCTGCGCATGTGGAAGGACTGACCTGGCGCAACAAAGACCCACGGCGACGGGCAACCCAATGTAGGAGCCTTTTAGGGGGTTTAGGGTTTATGGTTTAGGGGGTTTAGGTTTAGGGGTTTGGGGGTTCAGGGTTTAGGGGTTTAGGGTTGAGGGTTGAGGGACCGTTTTGTTGCATAATGAAACCCGAATGTAGGGGCCTTGTTGATTAGACAAGGGCTTTGGTGGTACATTATAGACGGTTTATAAGAAGGAACCCAAAGGACTCATGTTTGCAAATATTATGTATAGGCTTCTATCGTGAACCCGAAAACCCATAAACACAATAGCCCGAAAAAAACACGAAGCCCTATCAGCCCTAAACAGCAAGCCCTATGGGCCGCATGAGCCCTATGGTTCTGGGTTCCGGGACTCGTAAGTCGACTCGCAAGTTCCCAAAACTATTCTCGGATGCTCGTCTCCGGAAGAACTGTAGTTCAGGCTCGGGAAACGGGTTAGCGTTTAGAGAAGTTCCAGAAAGCTCCTATAGTTGAGACCTGATTCGGGAGCGATCTTTTTCATGGATTGATCCAGCTAGTCTGGGGAATGAGCTCTTAATATTTCTTGAGCAGCCCCAAACCCTAAATCCCCAAGCATTTCAACAGGGTCCGGCATGGTGTGCACGGTCCAAGCTGGAGAACCAGAACTTCGCCCTTATGTACACCTTTATCCAAAATGCTAAAGTCTATCAACTTAACATGCAAGACCTCAAATGCTAAGCCTTCCAAACTAAACGTAGGAGCCAAGATCCGAACCAATGAGGACATACAGCCGATACCTTCAAAGTTCCACAAACCACCTCTTGTCGTCCATGGCTTTAACTGCCCTGAGCACATGACACGTGTATACTCTGAAATCAGCCTGAAATCCCGCCTCAAAAAGCCTGAACCCTAAACCCGAAATGCTAAACTCTAAAGCCCCGCCTTCCAAGGAAGTCATCCCGAGGCTCGTTCGCCAACTGCTGAGCTTCACCAGGCCGAACAGCTTCCCCATGGCCTTGTATACCCAAACCCTTCGAAATAGTAGGTTCTGACCCCTTAATTATAGGATCTAACCCTTGAAACGCTAGGGTTTTGGATGCCCAGGTAGGGTCTATAGGATTTAGGAGTTGGGGGTTTAGGGTTTAGGATTTAGGGGTGCCATGTAGGGGCCTTAATAATCAGTGGAGCTCCTTATTATAACCATAATATAACAGATCCCCAAACCCAAGTCTAGCTATTAGGGCCCCTATATTATAGGATTTAGGGCTTTGAGGTCTCGAATTTAATTCAGGGTTTGGGGTCTGGGGTTTAAGGTTTACGAGGGTTGAAAGGACGGTGTGCCTACAGAGTCCTTAGAGGGGTTCTTTTAAGGGCTTCCAGGAGTCCCCAAAAGGCCCGTTATTGGGTTCCTTTAGGGGTTCCATAAGGGTCATTACCATGAGCTTTTAGGGTTTAGGGTATTTTTTTTACCCAAATAGTAGATACCCAGAGCCTAAAGTACCTGTGTAGGGACTACTTTAAGACCGATGTACCTACTATACCCAGACACTACAAGCCCTAAACCCTGAACCCTTTTCGAGCACATGGACCCTTAAGTTAAGGTTGACAAAAGGGCTCACCTAGAGAGTCTAGGGTTTGGTGTTTCTGGTACCTTGCCATGATTAGGATCTGGGAAGGGTAGGGTATGACAGGTAGGGTTGAGGGTTCAGGCTTTAAGGTTTAGGGATTGGGGTTCGGCAAGGGTTTAGTTAGGTTTGGGGGGGAATAGGGCTTTGGGTTTGGAAAGGGTTTAGGGGTTAGGGTTTTAGGTTAGAAGACTTTAGAGTTAAAACTGGGCTTTCGGGACTACTGTAAGGGTTTGTTTATGGACCCTTTAACAACTCAAGCCCGAAGCCCGCGAACCCCAAACCGACCTTGCCTAGCATTGAGTGTGAACCTGGAAGCCTCATGCCTTGAACCGTACAGGAACCTTCCCTTCGGTTTAGGGTTTAGGGTTTAGGGTTTAGGGTTTAGGGTTTAGGGTTTAGGGTTTAGGGTTTAGGGTTTAGGGTTTAGGGTTTAGGGACCTTCAACTCCGAACTCCTAAAGACCTGAAGCCATGAGCTAAGGTAAGGTGTCGGGGCTTAGGATGCCTGCCATGAAGCCTGATCCTCTCTAAATATGGTTTAGGGTTTAGGGTTTAGGGTTTAGGGTTTAGGGCCCTAGCCCGGAGCCTCCTACTCAGCCCAACCCTCAAACCCGAGACCCCGTATAAACACCTCAACTCTGAACATTGGCCGCCACCCCCCACACCCCGAACCGAAAAGCAATTACGTACTTGCACCCTTATCCAAGTACTGTAAGAGATAAGCAGAGCTAGAAGCACACAATCCCCAACCAGGCAGGGTGCTTATAGCTCTACCTTATAACTTGTCGACCTCCTGACTTCAATGAACTCCCCAAAACATCCTAAAACCATTGCAACATATACGACCACAAAGCAGTAAAAACCTCGCCGAAGAACACAGCCGGATCTACTTACAGTAGAAGCCCAAAAGTTGGA